TCTGCCAGCTGTTGAAGCGGATATGCGACAAATGGTAAAAAACAAGTGATACAAACGTGATAATGATACAGTCTTGCCACTTGCTCGCTGCAACAAATGGTGGACAGCGGATTTGGCAAGGGGCCAAACTCATCCTGCTACGCCCCTTCAACTGCAGCGAACTAGCGTACAGGTAAGCAACCTCGCTGCGCACTTTCACATCTTAGAAAAGGGGAGCTGAAGCAGATCAGAAGTGCTAGGAGGCTGCGCGATTATGCCATATCATGTTGTGTTCTGCCTGCCATGCCTCGTCTTGTTTTGCCACGGCTTCTCGAACAGGGCGCGTCATCACACTGTGGAAAGTTCTTTGCCAAAAGCCACCCCTTTCCTACTCTACTCCCCCAATTTTTCCCAGAATTGTAGAATTTTCAGCGTCAAGCGGAAGGAAGGGGAGCGTATTGTAGACACTCCTGGTCAACTATAGGAAATAGTACTTTTGCGACGCCCTAGATTAAATGTGTTCTCAATTTCCTTCTCGTGGGAGTGCTCAGACAACGAGACGTGGCGTGCCATTCGCCTCCCGCTTGGCATCCTACCTCGAGACTATCATCTCCGTTGATTATTTGCGTTTTATCATCTTCAACTTTAGCGGGTTCTGGTTTAGGTTTGCTGGCTGCAGGCTTCCTCGCTCTGACTGATTCTTGGGTTTTCTGGATCGATTCCTTCTTCCGAGCTGAAACAACGCGTAGAGAACTTTCACTCCCTGATAAGGTAAGGTAAGTTCTCATGGCTTTTTTTTGGATTCATTAGGGTGCAATGCTCTAGACAGTAACGCAGCCATAGACTGTTATCAACCGACCTACGCTGCTGTTCCGACGCTACTGTTCCGGGAGAGAGTAAAAGAACGGAAGGATACCAGACAGGGTAATCAGACAGTGCTTAGCCTCCCGTGCTACCGTACTTTTTTCACTAGCACATAAAACAGTAGTTGCTGGCGCCGATCGATACAAGCCCGTGGTGGTTCTGTGTCACAGCGCGTCATCGCAAAGCCTGCGCTACCTTACACTCCAAGGACCAGTTAAATATCCTACTAGCAAGACGAGAACTGTCCTCGGTTTCAGCGGTCACGAACGAAGAGAGAAGTTCTTGGTACGCCTACGTTGTCGCGAGCCAGTTGATGCCGCCGTCCTGGGTGCTTTCTTTTCCTTCTGCGTGGTATCTAGTGACTTCCATTTCTGGTTTCCAATTTTGGCTGAAAGTATTCACAACAGAATCTTCAGGTAGATTTACTTCAACTTCATATCACTTACTTGCGCTACTAATTCTTCGTATCTTCTCTTTGCTATTAGATAGAAGGGTTCTGTTAAGGGTGGCCAGTTTCGTCCGAATTTCCTTGTTCACATCGCGTCGGTTCTTGACATGATTGGAGTTCTTCTGCTTCGATCCATTCTCGGCCATCTCATGCCTTTTGGTGAACTAAATGCCTACACAATCATCTTGTGGTATTTATAGTGATATCAGAAGCTTACCACTCGTGCTATCATTCTATTATACAAACAGTAACTTAGTGTCGGCTTGTTTTCCATTCACTCGTAAATTGTTCCATTGTTGAGAAAGGAAACTTGTAGGGGAAACAACCGCTCAAACGTGGCAGTCAACTGGTGTTGTAGTGCTAAAGGCAAAGGGCGCGATAAATTACGTGTGAGCAGGGTACAGCATGGGGATGTGCGAAATGTCGGTGTGAGTACGACCCCCCCCTTCGAATGGGGTCCAGGCACGACCCCCCTCCACCTCCACGGCTTTTTCGCCGACGACGAGCGATGAGTATATAGTCGGCGAAAAAGTTGTCGAGCGGGGGGTACATACTATGATATACAAGAACTAAACTATGCAACGTGTATCCCACGGGCGTAC